GCGTATACTTGCGTGTGCGTTTGGTCGCAACAAGTTTTTGGCGCCGTTGCCGGGGACTTAGAATTAGCTGTTTTTCTAGATTAGGCTTTTAATTTTATCCATTTTGTTTTGTATATATTTTTATTTTTATAACAATTTGATTTTTCTCTTATTGTGTTTATAGTTCTCTCAACATGACATCTGGGGATGAAATATCTGGAGGTAAGGTTATTAATGAAGACGCTTGGTTGACGGAAGACTTTTATGGACCGTCTTTTTGGGCTTGTCATGACCTGAACTCTGAGAGGTCTGAATTTGAATATGGGAGTAAGGGTTGGTATTGGGAAGAATATTCACGATTAAGGGAATATGAGGAACGACGTTGTCTTCTAACAACGTTGGTGAATGATTGGTCTAAGGAGAGAGATGATCTTGCAATTAAAATTGATAATTTTAGCTTGGTTGTGCATAACTTAGATGCAGATTTGAGTGCGAAGGTTGATGCGTGTAACGCCCAATAATTTAATGATGAGTTGTGTGAAGCCGAGAAAAATCTTCTAGACCAAATTGAGGAGCTAAAACGAGAATACCAATTATTAGACCATGTTTTTCTTGAGGATGCCAATGTTGAGAAGAGTGATCTAGAGTCATATCAGGGCGTAGATAACATTACTTTGAGAGACTTGAGTGTGTGTAAATATGGGGATGCAAATAGTAGTAAAATTCATGAGTTAGGGCGCATTAGACCTCATTCTAATCATTTTTCCACATTGTGTTTAGATAGTAAGATAGTAGCCGAGCCATCTGAGCCAATGAGGGGGCCAAAGAGTGAGGATGAGAGTGCCTATATTCTTGAATTTGTTGTGCCAAAAAAAAAAATTACATTCCTCATCTAAAGGCCAAGAAGTGCAGAGTGAAAAAATTATTACTTGGCCTGGTTATCATTGTAGCCCCACCACTGGAGCATAGCCGCAGACTGGATGCCATGTTAGGGGTACAATTCATAAGTTCGAGGTGGAGGAAAAAGGGGTTCACGTCGTGCCGCGATGTTAGATTAGGCGCTTGTTGGGAGGCAACCCAGCTTTACTGCTTTCTTTTATTTTTGATTTTTTTTTCTTATTGTATTATTTTGTAGTGTTGTTTTATTTTGTAGGATTTTGAGCATAGGGAGCAAAGCCATAGGAAGTGTGCAAAAGTGAGCCATGTGGTTGGAACTAAGTGTGGGGTGCCCGCACAAAGGATCATACCTGGGAGAAATCTGAGTATCCCGTGAGCTGCTAATGCTTCGGCCTTTGGCCTACCAGGGAGTCTCTTTTACCCTCTTGTTATTTACAGTGTGCATTGAGGACATTGCACAATTTTAAGTGTGGGGTGAGGAGATTGTTTTGTGCTATCCGAGGTTAGTTGTAGTATTCTTTCTTAGTGTGGTAGATTTTATGTAAAGAAAAAAAATATTTGGAAAAAAAATGAAAATTGAAAAACAAAAGTAGAAAATTTGGACTTTTCCCGACGATGGATCTGTTGGACAATTTTCTTGAGGGATTAAAGTCCGATTAAAAATACCAAAAAGATTTTCTTTTTATTTTTTTAGTTTTTAGGTAGTTAGGTAGTATCCCTTGGTTTTTCTTTCGACACCGGTTCTTTTCCAAGGGTATAGCTCGAACCGGGTATTCTAGTTTAGTTTTTTTATTATTATTTTTTTCTTTCTTAGGAGTAGGAAAAGGGAAAGTGAGGTGCTTTGAGATACCTATTGACATAGTTGGTGTTGGCAATTTAAGTTATGGCATGCGCTTTGTCTTTCGGCATATATGATTTAAATTGTAATGCCCAAGTAAAGTAAGTAGCCTATTCTTCGATGCCTTCTTCTCAGTTGATTGACTTGTATGCTAACTAGTGCATTATTGCTTTAAAATTCTCAACTTGCTAGCTTGCTTGACTTGAGAGTTGCACAGAACCGTCTTGACTGAGTCAAGTGCCATGTGTGTGTAAGGATTGTTGATATTCTGTATTGTCCTGTGTAGTCTAGAACTTGCCCCGTGTGTTAATCAACGCAAAATCATTAAGTTATGCTGGTCGAGGAGATGATGTAGGCGTTTCTTGCTTGACCATGAAGGTGCTTGTGTCACTTATAAATAAAAGTTTCCCATTGCTAGCCCTTTGAGCCTATAGACCGTTTCCTTGATACCCACATTACAAGCCATACTCCTATTTTGTTCTTGATTTGAGAATGTTGAACCTTTAACTCCTAAGGCACTTAGTCGCTAAAAGAAGTAAGGGGAGAGATTTGGGAGTTACTTTCGAGTGGAACCATGGAAGGGCCCTTGAGGTGCACTAAGATTGTGAATAAAAGTCACTAGCTTAAGAACTTCAATGCATGGAGTGTGTGTAGAAAAGAAAAAAAAATGTACAAGAAAAAGCAAAATAAAAGTTCAAATAATGTGAAAAGATACACACCTCTTAATATTTTTTTCATTCATGCTAGTGAATCCATGGAGGTGCTTAATTGAAAAAAAAGGGCTATGTTATATATGGTGTATGACAAGTGAATGGGTTGAGAACAAATTGAGCTTGATTTTCAAGTGTAGTATATTAAGGTGCTTAGGAGGGTTAGTCACTATTCCTAAATATATCCTACCCGTCCCTTAGTCTACATTACAACCTTAAAGTCCTAATTGATCCTAGATTTGGCTAGCTTAGATTAGTAGAGATATACACTACGGGCAAGCTTATGGTACGACCACGGGATTCACATGAATTCTTTGTGAGAGTGAGTGAATTTTGTTCAATTGTGTGATGTCCTTGAATTATGTTCAATGACATATTTAAATGTGGACTTTGATAATCACTCTTTGGTTTGTGGTGAGGGCACTTGGTCTCGTGATGGATTTGTGATGTTGTACACTTTCTTTTGTTGGGTGAGTGTGTAAGTTGAGGATACTTAGTGTAACGAGTCATCTCTTGAGGTAAGGTGGTTGTGGAGAGGTTGCTTGAGTTGGTTGAATAGTATTGTATATACTTGGGCTAATTTGAAAATGGGAAGAATGTGAAATTTGCGTGTTCACACTTAATTGCCGATATAGATCATAGTCCAAAGGTAGGGTGTTTGATTGAATTAATTGTGAAATGCTCTTTCATAGTGATAAGTATGTTTTGGGGGATTGATTTAGTTCCATTGCTCGAGGACGATCAAGAGTCTAAGTGTGGGCTGTTGATAATCGGCATAAAGTATGTATATTTTGATATATATCGCCTCGCATTTTGCTCATGTTTCGATGATTTGAGATGTTTAATATGATGATTTGTGCTAAATTATGGTGTTTCTATGTGTAAGAATCATTCGAATGCAATTTGGGACGAAAGGGCGCGAATTGGAGCGAAATCGGAGCAAAAAGGCAAAAAGTCAATTTTGACGCAGTTTCCAGAACTCAAATATTTTGAGCGCTAGGGCCAGCGCCTCACGCTGCCCTGGACACTCGGGTCGCTAGAGTATCCCATTCCGACTTGGACTCGGTTATTTTCACCTCAAGATGCCTCCAATTGATATAAAAGCCATCCTAAAACATATTTTGAGGGAGGAGGACGTTTTTGAGAGGAAAACACAAGCATAGAGCCATCGTGGAGGCCGTAATTTATCAAGTTCCATCTTTTCTTCCATCAAACTTAGTAATTTTTATGTTTCTTTGTATGATTTGTTGGTTTGCTACCATGTCTATGTGGAGCTAAACTTCACGTTCTAGGGTTGTGGTTCTTTCATGACTATCGTTATTCGGATATTGATTTTGATTTCTTAGTTTATCATATTGGTTTATTTATTTAATCCTGCACTTAATTATTTGATTGATTGATCACCAATTGTATACTATCTACGAATCTTGAATTGAACTTGAAAGTGGGAATTCTAGATTGCATATAGGATTGAGTAGAGCAAGTTCTTGAACCTGGGCATCAGGGAACGGATTCGCGGTTAGGATAGACATATACCTAATTGCCTTGCTTGGTTGATTTACAGGAATTATAAATGCGTTCTTGTTAGTTCTAATTCCATAGACATATAGGAGTTAGTTTAGCTTGAATAGGCGAGTAAGAACTCGACAGATACTTATGAGCAATATTAACCCTGTTAACCAATAAACTAGATAAATTAGTTAGTCAATTCAATTGAAGAATACAATAGGAATTTTAGATAGCCCATAACCCTAAATCGTTTTCATTACACATTGATATCATAAAAATCTGCTCTTTTTCTGTTCAAAGTTCATTATTTATATTTCTTAATTTAATTAGTTTAGAATCAAATATTTCTAGGTTTAATTCTTGTTTAGATAATTAAGATAGTCTAATTTAGTTAATAGTTAATCACAAGTTCTCGTGGGTTCGACATCCGACTTTTAGTCACTTTATTACTTGACGACCGCGTATACTTGCGTGTGCGTTTGGCCGCAACATGTACCAATCCGCTTACAAGCTAAAAGCTTCCCCTTACGAACTTGATCTTTTTCATGAGCTAAGCAAATTGAATTCGATAGAGTATGAATTTAATTTAAAACTTCAAACTAGAACCTATTCTTGCTTTGGTAGCACATTATATTGAATTACATAACCAACATATAGAATCGGCAGCCATTTAACTATGTTTTACATTATTACTCAATATAGCGAATTAATTATAGTGAATAATGTCAGCTAGGAACAGAATTATAGTAAAGTGTCATCATGTTTAACTCAAAAGACTTGCACCTAATACTCACTTCTTTTCTTCTTTTCAAATACTTCACTATCGGAGCTAGCATGCATGAAAGGAATGGTGATTCCCATGATCAAATCCGAATTATAGTGAACTGTATCATATATTTAACTCCATAAATAAAATAACAAATCGTACTGTACACGGGTGGGACGGGTTGAAATTTTACGGGTTAAGACAAAACCCGCCCAGCCCGGCACTGTCTACCATTCCTAGACGTACACCTAATATTTACTCTTTTCTTCATAGCAAACACTTCACTACCGGAGCATGAAAATTATATTAGTGATCGGAAAATCATTTCTTCGCAAGGAATAGTAATGTCCATGTCGTGATCAAAGCCAAATTCTTCCTCGCCGCAACAAAGGAGCCACTGAAACTCGGGATTAGTCAAAAAAGAAATTGGTACGACGTATGGAGTTCGATTTTCTCCTACATAAACTGCAAAATGTCCTTTTGGTACGTCAATGGGAAGGCAGTAGTCTTCGTCGTCATAGCTGTATTTCTTACCCAAACTCGAGCACTTTTTCAGAATTTTCTTCAAAACTGCAGCCTGTGGCAGCTTGTTTGATTTCCTGATGGCCATGTTTGCGAACTATATATATTCTTGAGAAAATACTAAAGAAAGTTGACAACTTTAGAAAGAAGAAGAAAGACCAATACTTACTTTAGCTTTGAAAGAGAGAGATATTAGCTTTGGGATAGAAAGAAGTAGTGGAGCTATTTATGGAGAAAGATTTCATTGTTTATGAAGAAACCAACGTATTTGTAAATGTAAAACAAGATTAATTACATGGGATTTGCTCGCCAACAACTTGATTCTTGGATGATCCTAAAAATATTTTAATAACCGACGGGAATTGTTCTAAGTTCTAACAGAATAGAAAGTACATGGGTGTTTTTACCAAGTGACAGAAATGCAAATCTATATATAAGTTGGCAGAAAAAGTCAAATGAACTACTAATCACGCCCAACTTTAGTTTTAAAAAGGATAAACGGTTGTTGCAAATATAATCCGGTCTAAAAGTCCGGAGTCGTATCCCACAGAGAACTAAGGTTTCACTATAACTGTTCAATATCACTCGGAAAACAAGCTTGAACAATTCCTAAGTTATAATATTAAGATTTTTATATCTAACTAATTAACTAAGAAACTAAAGCATTAAATTAACAACTAAAGATACTAAGGGTTGGAGATTAAACTTAGGAGGTCTAGAGTTATGATTTCCCCAAATGTTGGAATCCTTCATGTTATGTTCCCTACAATTTCGCATATGTATTCTCTACTGATCGTGATCACTTTAGGTGCCGTAATTCTCTCTCGAGCAACTACAACAATTTACTAGACATATTCTCTCGAACTACGCTAGTTGGCTTTATCTAACCGCTCATTATGACCACGTCAAGGCTTTGTTATTTTTAAACCTGCCTTTAAACCCGCTGTATTGATTTCTCACATACGTTAGAAATGACGTTGTTCAACAACCACCTAAATATGTATCCTTTCTCAAGCAACATATAATAACTAGGCACAATCAATCGATGGTCATTCAATCAACTGAAATAAGCACGTAGTTGAACAAATAGACAAATTCAAAGGTTAAATTGTATTAAAACATAACAAGAATTCATCCTCCGAGAGGTTCCATCAAAACCCTAGATAACTAGCTATTCATAATAGTTTGCAAAAATACAATACTAGAATTCATAACCAATAATGGAAATAGGAAGAAGGAAGTGAAAAACTCGTAGAAGAATTCTCCGCCTTGCTCCCAGTGTGTTCTTGCCTCCTTAGGTCGAATCCCCGGTCTCCTTAGCCTCTTTAGGTCTAAATTATGTCAAAAGTATGTCAAAGATCCTCAAAATACCGTTTTTTCATGTATATATACCAAGTATGGTTGGGCTCAAACAATTATACCTTCTCGTACGCGGAAAAGGACACTTTTTCCGGGCATGACGTGCGCGGCCGCGGTTGGACCGCGCATATCCACTTTGATTCTGCTTGACAAGCGCGGCCTGAGCGCGGCTGCGCACTTGACGCGCACTTTTCACCCTGTTCTGTTAGGAATTTGGAAAAACATAAAACTCAAAAGTTGTATCCCTTTGAGTTATCTTTCCAGCCATATATTGTGGAGCCCAAATGGAGTTCTGAGAAAAATGTTATGTGCATTTTACTAGACAGTACACAATATGCCTACTCGATTCGTCGTTCGTTCTTAACTATCATCCGTTGATCCCCGAACGCGATCCCGGCTTAATTCCTTGGGCTTTTACTCAGACTTCAAATCTGCAAATCACTTGAATTCATTCCATAACCTCTACATAGCTCGGAATCACTCCTACAAAGCATAAAACACACAATTAGTGCAAAACACTAGCGATTAAAGCGCAAACTCAATTAAAGTGCAGTAAAGGAATGTAATAATCGACTAAAATGCGTAATTATAGCCTATCATCAACACCCCCACTTAAACCATTGCTCGTCCTCGAGCAATCAAACTACACTTTATATAGACACGACCTTTTTAAACAATTCTCCTAACTTATCACACCAAGAATATTTAAATAGACTAAGCACAAAAGAATAACATCTTCACCTCAAGATTTGACTCACAGGTACCATGCATTATTCACAACTCATCCACTTACTCTAACGTAGAGGTCACTGTCATTACCTTTCCTTCATGAATCAAGTGCCCTTACACAACAAACGAGAGTAGTTCTACATAATAAAATTTAAGAACACTTAGGAACTCAAGATAGAAAGAATTCACTCTCTCAGAAATAACATTTATATGCCACAAAAGATGCACTATAGGCTTGCCTGTAGTGTACTACTCTACTAATCGAGCTCATTCCGTCAAAGATCAAGTAGGACTTTATTTGGTTGTAATGTAGGCTGCAGGACGGGTAGGATACATTTGGATATAAGAGTGACTACACCTCCCTAAGCACTTTAATACATATACTTTAACATTCAAGTTCCACCTTCACATTAATGTATATTACCCCATACTTCTTTAAGAACAATTACATCAAGAGTCACCACTTATCAAGGAATAATTTTTTTTTCACAGCAATACAACTATTTTTCCATTTTCTTTCTTTTTAAATTCAAGCGGCTCTTACTTTTTCAAAACAGTGCACGTTTCTCCTTATTTCATTAGTTCCACTCAAAAGCCAAACCAACCACCCCACACTTTAACTTTTAACCAGGTCATAACAATTCAAGTGCTCATGAGAAGTGAAAAGGTTCAAATAGATGGTTAATTCAAATAATTGGGTAAGGCTTGTAATGTGGTTGCCAAAAAAACAGGATTATAGGCTCAAAGGGGTTAAATACGATACATAACAATTAGGCGAGTAAAATATACATATCTGGCTAAACAAAGAAACGCCTATATCATTTCCAAGATTGAACAAAACTACTATTTCGCTCTGTAAACACACGGGGCAAGTTCTAGGCATCAAATGCAATACACAGAATACAACAACCCTCACACGCACATGGCACATGACTCACTCAAGATTGGATCATCAAGACACTCTAGTCAAAGCAGTTAAGCAAAGTTAAGAACATACAATTTAAGGTACTTATACAAGAGTAAAAAACTGAGCCTAAGCGTCACAACCAAAGTACTCACTATTCTCAAGGCATAACAAAGTCAAGAGATATTGCTTCAATTCAAAACACAACACAATGGCTCCTATTCCTAAAAAAAAAACTAACTATACCCGGTTCAAATAAAACGATTGGAAAAGAACCGCGGCACAAAGAAAAACCAAGGGGTAATTGCTACACTACCTAACAAAAGAAAATCTTTTGTCCTTTTTTTTCTTTAGACTTAAATCCCTCAAGAAAATTGTCTAGGATATCCATCGTCGGGAAAAGTCCAATCTTTTTTTTAGAAGCATTATTCAATTAAATTAACACAGTTAAAGTAGCATAGAAAGTCACCCAGACAATCTCCTCACCCGACACTTAAAATTGTGCATTGTCCCCAATGCACATCATAACTATAAGAGGGTAAAAGAAACTCCCTGGTAGGCTAAAGGCCGAAGTACTAGCAGCTCATGGGGTACCCAGACTTCTCCCATGCTTGGTCCTTCGTGCGGGTACCTCACACTTAGTTCCAACCATCTGGTTTGATGTTGCATCCATCCAATAGCTTTGCTTTCCATGCTCCTGGAAAATCAAAAATTGACACTACAAAAATAGTACAATTAAAATAAAATACAAAATAAATAAAAGAAAGCAGTAAAGCTGGGCTGCCTCCCAACAAGCACTTGATTTAACGTCGCAGCACGACGTGAATCACTTTCTGCCTCCACCTTGAGCTTATATTGAACCCCCAATTTGGCATCAAGTTTTCGACTATGCTCCAGGGGTGGAGGAACAAATCTAATTGGCCCAAGCAACCACTGTACTATTCTACACTTCTTGGCTTTTTGATGAGGTATGTAGTCCTGTCTTTCTGGCAAGAAAAATTCCAGAATGTAGGCACCTTGTTCCTCATTCCTTGACTTCTCAATCGGCTCGGATGGCTCTATTTCCATATCGTTATCCAAGCACAATGTAGAAAAATGTTTGGAGTGAGGATCAATGCTCTCACACACATGAACTTCAGGACTTTCAGCATCCTCAACATCAATGATACCAGAGTCAACAAAATTTATATCCTCAATGTCCTTGGCTGGCTCTAGTCTCACGTCTTCAACATCGACATCCTCAAATTGTAGTTGGCTAGGTTGTTGATGTTCTACTCTGACCTCCTCAATTAGCACCTTAAATTCACGCTCTTCTTGGCTCATATCCCCAAAATTGGTTTGCTGAGCATTAAAAGCTTCAACCACTTGACTCACTTGAGCCTCCAAGTTGTGAATAGTTGCCTCTTGCCTTTCTATCTGCAATTGTTTCTCATTATTTTGTTCCAGAAGACACTTTAACATATCCTTGATCTCCTTCAAGTCCGCATCCCCAGGATATTTATTCCTATTAACTTCACAAGAAAAGGTAGAACCATCATAGTAAGGGGTTGGGGGAAGATAAGAAATATAAGCACAACCATGAAAGTGACCATTTTTACCACCACGCACATCACACACATTCCACAAATAAGATTGAGTTGGTGCACATAACTCGCTCTCGAGAATATTTTGATAATTTTTATACGGATGGTTTCCTTCACAATATGTATGAGGATCAATAGTAGAACTATCTACACCTAAATTCCCATAATTCCAAGATGTCATATTTCTCAAATCATCACTTATAATAAAATAAGAAAAACAAAATAAAAACAAAAAAAAAAAAACAAAGTAAAAGTTCAAACTCGAAACCTAGCAATATATACAACTACAACTACACCGTTAGTTCCCCGGCAACGTCGCCAAAATTTGATCACTCCCAACTCTAGTCCTAAAAAGGATAAGCGGTCGCTGCAAATATAATCCGGTCTAAAAGTTCGGAGTCGAATCCCACAGAGAACTAAGGTTTCACTATAACTGTTCAATATCACTCGGAAGACAAGCACGAACAATTAAGTTATAATATTAAGATTTTTATATCGAACTAATTAACTAAGAAACTAAAGCAGTAAATTAACAACTAAAGATACTAAGGGTTGTAGATTAAACTTAGGAGGTCTAGAGTTATGATTTCCCCAAATGTTGGAATCCTTCATGCTATGTTCCCTACAATTTCGCCTATGTATTCTCTACTGATCGTGAGCACTTTAGGTGCCGTAGTTCTCTCTCGAGCAACTACAACAATTTACTCCACATGTTCTCTCGAACTACGCTAGTTGGCTTTATCTAACTGCTCATTATGACCACGTAAAGACTTTGTTATTTCTAAACCTGCCTTTAAACCCATTGTATTGATTTCTCACCTACGTTAGGAATGACGTTGTTCAACAACCACCTAAATATGTATCCTTTCTCAAGCAACACATAATAAATAGGCACAGTCAATCGATGACCATTCAATCAACTAAAATAAGTACGTAGTTGAACAAATAGACAAATTCAAAGGTTAAATTGTATTAAAACATAACAAGAATTCATTCTCCAAGAGGTTCCATCAAAACCCTAGATAACAAATTAGTTATTCATAATAGTTTGCAAAAATACAATATTAGAATTCATAACCAATAATGAAAAGAGGAAGAAGGAAGTGAAAAACTCGTAGAAGAATTCTCCGCCTTGCTCCCAGTGTGTTCTTGCCTTCTTAGGTCGAATCCCCAGTCTCCTTAGCCTCTTTAGGTCTAAATTATGTCAAAAGTATGTCAAAGGTCCTCAAAATACCGTTTTCCCATATATATATACCAAGTAGAGTTGGGCCCAAACAATTATACCTTCTCCTACGCGGAAAGGACACTTTTTCCGGACATGACGTGCGCAACCGCGCTTGGACCGCGCATATCCACTTTGATTCTGACGCGCACTTTTCACCCTGTTCTGTTAGGAATTTGGGAAAACGTAAAACGTGAAAGTTGTAGCCCTTTGAGTTAGCTTTCCAACCATATATTGCGAAGCCCAAATGGAGTTCTGAGCTAAAAGTTATGTGCATTTTACTAGACAGTGCGCAATATGCGTACTCGATTCGTCGTTCGTTCTTAACTATCATCCGTTGATCCCCGAACACGATCCCTGCTTAATTCCTTAGGCTTTTACTCAGACTTCAAAGCTCCAAATCACTTGAATTCATTCCATAACCTCTACGTAGCTCGGAATCACTCCTACAAAGCATAAAACACACAATTAGTGTAAAACATTAGCGATTAAAGCGCAAACTTAATTAAAGTGCAGTAAATTGGAATGCAATAATCGACTAAAATACATAATTATAGCCTATCATCAACTGTCACATTCAAATATCAATTCATTCCTCGAAAGAATATGATGCCACGTACAAGAAATTACCAGTGGATTAGCATTTTTTGACATTATATGTGTTTTTAGATTTTACAAATGAGGGTAATTATGGGAGAAAATACCAGTACTTGTTTGCACTTGGAATAAGGACAATTCAGCTGTACGGCTAGCATATATCGGGTGGAAATCAAGAAAGAAGTTAAATTAATAATTATTGCAGTAACATAGAATATACCTATAGATTATTAACTTTTCTGTTTTCTCCTTTTGTATCAGACTTCCTTTTCCCAGAGCTTATACAAAATGACAACAAAATGTCACATAAAAGTGGAACAGAGGGAGTAATAAATAAACTACCCGATGCTAGGATCAAGCCATTAGAAGTTTTGATTGCTTAAACATTAGACCAAGAATTGAAATAGTCATGCTAAATCAATTTCTTAGATTGCTACTTCTTGTTGATTCTGCTCTTCACGTCAACTGTAAAGAGTTGATGCTTTTGTGTAGTTGATTAACTTATCATTTGACACTATAGCTAGAGGAGGAATTAGTCTCTCCGTGCAGTAAGAAGCATGTTCTTCTCGAGTCACCTGATGAGCATTCAGAGGCTATTTCTCCCCTGTCCAGAACTCTTTTAGTTTTACCGTACATTTTGAGGTCTTTGTCCGTAGTATCATGCAGGCCATAGCTCTGGCTGTTCATAAATACTTAGAATGCTAAGTTTTTGGTATAGGAATTTAGATTCTCCATGAAGTGCTATTCAAAGTCAACTTGTTGTGTATTATATAAACTGATCAAATGTTGAATTTCTTGACAAATTTAAGCCAGCATGTTGTTTTTGTGGCTTAGTACCAGTCTATATCATAATTGCTCACCAGATTAAAGATAAGCTTGCATTCTTCTCTTGCTTGTTTCCTACAAAATTACTGTTGAGGTCCACCCATACTCAGCATTGGCGCAACAAAAGTAGACACTGGTTGGTATTATTTTTCTTTGACCAGAAACATGGACCTAGGACCTTCTTATTGGTAAATGTAACTGGAGAAATATTCTAACCTTATCCAATTCTCTATTATTTCCAATAACAATCATCACAATCTGACCATTTTTTAAGTGTTCTCGAAGTCTTCAACTGCAGCACCACTTGGAACCATAAGAGTAAGACAGTAGTTTTTTGTCATAAGAACCAACTTGTATCCTGAGCCATTGCTTTAGCATTATGGATGATCAGATTTTTGTCTAAAATTCTCAGGATATGCCCTTATAGATTTGCATCTGATGATCAATCATTGGAATTCTGACTACAACTTCAAGAAATGGCTAGAGGTGGTCCCTAACTAAACCATTTTTCAAGAAGAATAGGCGTCCATATGTTCTTTGTTGTGAAGATCAGTGGAACCCTCTGCTTTTAGACTAGTCTTAATATATAAATAGTATGACAATGATTTGGAAGGCAAAACCATGTGATATTTCAGGTGCTATTGTTTTTAGCTGGTGCCCACAAAATACTATTCAATGCACATCATTAGGACTCTACAACTTGTCATTGGCCTATATAAACACATACAAAGAAGGGTTTACCATAACAGTTCTCACCAAAACTTCAAACCATACAAAGATTTTCTCTGCTTTCAGGGTCCTTACTGATTCTACCCTTCCTCATCTGTATTGAGCTTAACGACCATGGCTTTCCGTGTGCCTCGTATAATCAAGAAGTCTTCTACAGCTGGAGACGTTCCAAAGGGCCATTTTGCTGTTTATGTTGGGGAGAAGCAGAGGAAGAGATTTTTAATCCCCATATCATTCTTGAGCCAACCTTTATTTCAAGACTTGCTTAGTCAAGCTGAGGAAGAATTTGGCTTTAATCATCCAATGGGTGGTGTCACAATTCCCTGTAGCGAGGATGTCTTCATTGATCTTACTTCCCGCTTGAGTAGGATATGAGGCTTTTCCTTTCACAGACTTGTAGAACACAGGAATTCCAGTTTGTACATTAGAGGAATTAGGAATGACACATTATCTATACCATATTACTGAAAATTAGATAGAGGGGGCTACTGTTAGCTGCATAGATCCCAATTTTGACTGTAATTTTCAGTAGCTGATGTCAAAAAGACATACAGCACATTCGTTAGAAAATGAAATCTGTCCAGACTCATTCTTTAGCCAATTGGATTTTCAGTATTCTTGTTGGAGAAATTTCTTTTCAAGATTCCATTTTCTCCATAACATGGGAATTGGAGCTTCTAAAGTCTATTAATTAACTCTAAAAAAGAAACCTTATCTGTGACCTTATCCTGAACACTGAAATATTTTTGGCAATGACAACAAACCAATATATCTACAGCAGAAATATCAAAATATCAAAGAAGTGACATTAATAGATCACACTCCATTAGATATTTTTGTTTTCTGCTCTCTTTACAACAAATCTGTGGACTTGATTTATTTGAATTTCTTACTAACAGCTGAAAAACTTGAGATAATTCTGATCTGCGAGGTTGATTAAAACGACTTATGATATAATAGTACCTTATTTTAGTCAACTTATTTCTATAAATATTTATTAGTAGAGCTGTATAATATTTACTAGGTTACCAAAATAGTGGCTATGAAGTAACTAATGTTGCTTGTTTGCGGGTTATTGAATCCAAACCCATAACGTTTTGTGTTTTACATACTTCAACGTATAAAATCTGAATACCTCAATTGCATGTTGCCTGGTAGAGTTCTTTGTAATTGAAAGTGCATTTAGCTCTATAAGAAGGGTGCTTCCGAGGTGTGAGGTGGGAGAGAAGGGACGTCACAATAGACCTATAGACCAAGCAATTAGGATCACTTTTTATTTTGTTCTCTTTTTCTTTATCTTTTCCATAAAGTTCACCTTTTTCCTCTTTCATTTTTCTCAATTTTGGTTTTTAATTTTGCTATACAAGTTTGTTGATAACACATAAGTGAATTCCCAGAATTAGTAAAATTTGTATGTCAGTACATCAGATGTTGGTTTTTTTAAGCATTCCTCAGATGAGATAAGAGTAGCCAAATATTTTGGATTAAGTTCAGGACCAAGCTAGACAGCACCTTGAAAGCTGGAACATCCCACTTTCCTTTGTTCTATTGGTTTTGGTGATGGATATTCCATTTAATTTGAATAAAATCTTACTAGAAAACCATGTTAATGACAAGAAATGTATAGGTGTATATCTAGACATGAATAATCACTCTAGGATACAACTTCAGACAAAAGGTAGGGCCTGATGTCTTGATCTTAAATGGACTAAAGATATGAATACTTTGAAAATTAGTTGGAAGGCAAAACCATGTTACTTCAGGCGCTATTGTATTCCGTGGGTGCCCATGAAATAACTCTTTACTATCAATAGGATTCTCTGAGTTGCCATTTGGCCTATATAAACACATTCAAAGTGTGACTACCACCACAGCTCTCAGCAAAACTTGAAAGCATTCAAAGATTATTTTTTGCTTTTGAGGTCTAGTAGTTCTTCTTTTCCTTCTTTGCTCTTATACATTAAAACTAAAAGATCATGGCTATTCGTATGCCTCGTATAATCAAGAAGTCTTCCACAAGTGGAGATGTTCCAAAAGGCCATTTTGCTGTGTATGTTGGGGAGAAGCAGAAGAAGAGATTTGTAATCCCCATCTCGTTCTTGAGCCAACCTTTATTTCAAGACTTGCTTAGTCAAGCTGAGGAAGAATTTGGCTTTGATCATCCTATGGGTGGTGTCACAATTCCTTGCAGTGAGGATGTGTTCGTTGATCTCACATCTCGCTTGAGGAAGTGAGAAGGAAATTAACGAGTCACCAGTTTTTCTCTTACACAATTTTGTAAAGCTGTAAAGTAAGGTCTCCAGAGCGTACAGTTCAGGAGTTAGAAGAAACAGTAATTTAAAGTTAGACTAATGAAATTAGCTCCATAAAGAATGGAGATGTAATACCTTTTCTCTTGATTAAGGAGACATTTTTCTACTTCAAAAGAAATTGAAGTAATGAACATGTTTACTTCTATGGTTTCGAATTAATTCCATATATTGATGGAATAATTTATTGCAATATAAAAATTCTTGCTCAACTTTCTTGGTTTTGTATGTGCACCTGAATGCGATAGAAAAAATATTTTGAAGATGTAATAAGAGCTACCATGTTTACCATTTGGCTTTCCAAAGCTTAGGAGTGTGAAAACATCTTTTTCTTTCAAGCGAAGCTCCCTGCTTACTCGTTAACACTCACAGAATATGTAATCATTAAATTAGTTTACTGTTTGATTTCTGTTGTTAATCCTATTTATGGCAAGAATACAGAATGGATGAGTCTGTTTTCTTAAATGAAACGATCCTACACTTGGAGTGGTCAATACATTGTCATTGGTTCAACAGCTGCTCTAGTTTTAAGCTTTTGTGTCCAATGGCCATACCTCAGATGCAGATCTGAGCTTCTTTGTTGGTCAGTTTTCTTTGTTCTTATTCGATTCAAGATCTTCAACATTTCCACTGCTGACAAGAATAGATGTAACTTGATTAACTCTAAGATATAAACATTTCTGCCCTCTACTGTTTGGAGAAATTGTTGAAATAACTCAGGTAATTCTAATCAGGAACGTTGATTCTACATAATGACTTAGCATGAGGGACCAAACAAGTTGTCTGATAGCAGTAAATTTATTTCTAATTGCAGAACAAGTGGTCCGGACCTGAAGGACAATCACCCGTTGTTATCAATTTGATTTCTAAAGATCCTCTTTTTTCTATCATGTCATAAAACAGTGGGACCTACTGATCTTCAGGCAGAATAGCCTAAAATCATAAATTCTTGATAATGAGTTAGATAGCAAAACCATGTGATACTTCATCTGCTATTGTCAATCAACAACGCAACAAATGCCTCTTCACCACTGAAATTTGAGATATAATTGACTTGTTTTCTCTTATAGTATTGACGTAGATGGACACTAAATTTGTATGTTTTAGTCCTGATGGATAGTGTTCCAGACACAAATCATCATAAGGACAATCCATTCTTATGCAATTGATTCTATGAGATCCTTTGTTCCATGCATAAGAAAATGGTAGGACCTACTGTTCTTGAACTTTTATGAGCTAAAATAATTAATCTTGTCAATTAGTTGGAAGGCGGGACCATGTGGTTATTGGTATGTCATTGTCTTTCACTGATGCTCAGCCCAAATGGCTCTTCACCACAAAATCATGAGATTTTATGACTTTCCATTTACTTATATAAACATGTTTTGACAAGTTTCACACCACCACAGCTCTCCTCAAAACTATAAAACTACTCAAAGCTTTCAGAATTTTAGTATTCTTTTCATCGTTTCCTCATCTTAAATAAAAAGGCATGGCTATCCGTGTTCCTCGTATAACATACTTGAGCCAGCCTTTATTTCAAGATTTGCTTAGTCAAGCTGAGGAAGAATTTGGCTTCAATCATCCAATGGGCGGTGTCAGAATTCCCTGCTCAGAAGACATCTTCATTGGCATCACTTCTCAGTTTAGGATTTAAGAATATAGTTGAGATCATTTTTCTTTTTCTTTTTTTAGGCCTCACAATTTTGTATATCAAAGCAGGAGATCCGTCTTGTATAGTTGATTAGTTAGGATCTCAATGAGGTATAGCACCACAAAGATTGGTGTTTTTTGACTCGCAAAGACTAATTCAAAGACAACATCCATTTTTCTCACTTAATGCGTCCAAAAGAAATTAATTCAACTTCTCCACGTTTCTAGGATATAATTCGAAACATTGCCTTATTTTACTTATATTTGCTGACACACTGAGTGTATTTTAACTGGTTATTTAGTTGATCTTGTATTTTCCAAGTCAGGATTACTATAGAAAGTCTCATGTCTTTAACCTGATGGGCAATG